GCTCTCTCAGCCCCACCCACCTCACAGGGTGTCTGTTGTGGGGAGGGGAAGGGAAAGGAGTTTGTAAGCCGCTCTGAGACTCCAAGTGAAGGGCGGGGTATAAATCCAATCTCTTCTTCTCTTCTTCTATGTCCTTTCCTGGCAACCATCAGCCAACCTTTATCTGCCTGTCTGTCTTAAGTTTTACAAACCCCCCCCCCCCACAGCCTCTGCCTAGGGAAAGGGCAGCTGACATCATTCTCCTCTCCCCTATGAGGTATGTTATGCAACTGAAAATCCCAACTGCCTTGCGGGGGGGGGTGAGTTTGAGGTGTGGAATGGAGTGTAGTCCAATCAGCTTCCATATGCAAATAACCTTGGAACGCTGGGCGGGACTGCACAAAGCAGCCAGTCAACCCAGCCAGTGTCTTCTGAGTGGCAGTTTTTCCGGCCTAACACTAAAGGGGCCAAATTTAGAATGTTGCGAAATAGAACGTTGCGGTGGCTCAAGTGGTTAAGACGCTGAACTGCAGGCTGTGGAAGGTCGGTAGTTCAGCAGTTCGAGACCCGGGTGCCGCATGACGGAGTGAGCTCCCGTCTCTAGTTCCAGCTCCTGCCAACCTAGCAGTTCGAAAGCAAGAAATTGCAAGTAGATAAATAGGTACCACTTCAGTGGGAAGGTAACAGCGTTCTGTGCGCCTTGGTGTTTAGTCATGCCGGCCACATGACCACGGAAACGTCTTCGGACAGCGCTGGCTCTTAGGCTTTGAAACGGAGATGAGCACCGCAACCCTAGAGTCGGATTCGACTGGCTTTCGAGCAAGAGAACCTTTACCTTTACCTATTCAATTATTATAAGGGAGAGATAGGCACAAAATGTGCTATATTTTCACAATATATTTCACAGTAAAGAAATCCTCAGACTTTTTTGCCATAGTGGACTTTGCTAGATTAATAACTACTGAGATCTGGAAACAAATAAATAAATCTTTAAACAAGTAAGTTGTGCCTCAATGTATCTGCTTTTCTCGAGGGTATAGATATGGAATAGAGAAAGGACACAAAACACACAAGGAAATTGTAACAAAATAATGCAATTTGCTGACAGATTTATTTGCAATGGCAATGAACACAGAGGGAAAGGCTGTTACAGTGCGATTCTATGCAGACATCCTCCAGTCTACATGCACAGAAACCAAGGAACTGCATTGGGTGGGGGGAGGATGAATTGGCAGTCTTCCTTCAAGACCTGTTAAAAACATACTGGATCAAATCAGAAAGGAGCATATGCTTCTTAGCACAATTTGTATCTTAATTATGAACATGTTTTGCAGGCACATATTCACAATATATTGATAGATCAGAGAAAGTATTTCTGAAATTTAAAAATCCCACTGATTTTTCATGCCACAAGTACAAAAATTTGCTGTTTCTAAAATATCCCGATCAGCTATCTAAGTGAAGGAATGCATTTTTTTCCCTTTGGAGGTTTGAAATGAGCAAAACCTTCACTGAGTTTTAAAAGCTTCTCCCCCCTCCCCGCCCCAGGCAGAGAACAAGGAGGAATGGAGGAAGTCAGTTCAATGACTTTCCAGCCTCACCTCAGCTACCTCTTAAGAAATGCTAATAGGTCTAGCTAGAGACAATAGGCTGGTCCAGTTCCCATCCCTCCCAAGCAGGAAACAGAAATTTGGAGGGATTAAGTACTAGAAGGACTTCA